ATGTATTGGACAGTAAATGTCAGTTGAACTGTGTGAGATGTTGTGAGTGGAATCTACACTTATTGAATAATACTTTGACTATTTTACTTCTTCAAGTATAATATAAAGAATGTGTTGTCCCATTAATTCAATAAATTCCTCACAAATATTTGCAGATAAATATGAGTTTCCTTTTCCCGGGATTTCTATGAATTTTGATATTCTCTTCCAAGAAAAGGCCAAATTCACACAGCAGCTCTAGTGTAACACTGAGGCTGGTTAGGTGGTTAAACATTAATTCTAAGCTGAAAAATGGTTAAGCCCAAAATATAAACTAGAAGATAGAGAGAATGGAAGACATTTTCCCTGGTAATGTAGAATTGAAGAAAGGGCTATCTGTGTTGCTTCACCCCTATGAATTCGAATGATGCACCAAGAGTTTACTTTTTTCTATCTATTAAATTTGGCATTCAGGTAAACCAAATTGGGGACATGGCTTTATCTCTTTCTTGGGAAATTAGAAAAACACGTCATTGGCGAAAATAGAAGTGAATAGGAATTATATTTTCATTAGTGAAAACGAACAGAGAATGAACCCACTTCACAGGTTAGGATTATGAAAATTGATCAGTCATAACAGGCAAGTGATATGGTTTATGTCTTTCCTAAGATGGCAACTGGCCCAAGGATGGAAAACAGCATGTCACTTTGTTGAGAATTTAGGTAAACAAATATATTTTCATTGATGAAAACAAATTGGGAAATAATTTTTATCTATCACTTTAAAGGTTGAAATGTGAAGGTGATCTGGTTTATGTTTTCATTGGACAGGTGGGTCCAGGAAAGGAGTCTGAGAATTGAAATTAATGAGAAGATTAAACCATGCCCTTTCCTCTACACACTTTAAAAATTAGATTTGTCACAAAGACAGCTGTTAGCCCTGAGAAGTGGGCAGAGTTAGAATACTGAGAAGGAAGGATGAAGGGGCAGACTTTAGCCCCACCTGTGTGAGATGTGAGTCAAAGCAGGTTGGAGTTAAGAGCAATTCATGTGACTACACCCAAGGAAGGTGGATAATTCTCCCAATTTGGAAAGTTGATTAAGAACGCAGAAATAGGGGGGAGGGAGAAACCTTTATTAGAATTAATGAAAATTGGGGAAATCACTGAAATCCTCAGAATCCTTCAGTTTTGGGTCAAAGTGCTTATAAGCAGATAACTTTGGGCTGAGATCCCACATTGAGTGCCTCTGAAATCCACATCAGCTGCCAACCAGATTTCTTGATTCCAAGACATTGAACCCAACGCTCCAGAAGTTTAGATAAGGCCCAGTGTCACTACAGAGATTGATGCAGAAAGGGTTAAATTTTGTTAACCAATTGAAGATTAACCCCATAAATCTTTCATTTTATTTTTTGTTGTGAAGATATTTTTTTCCTTAATATAGCACTTGCCACAGCTTGAACCAGTGCTGTGTGACTACAACTTTTGATTTTCCATTTTGCTTATTTAATATTGTTGAATTTTTCCCATTAATTTTTGTGATAATAACTAAAAGATTATATTTACAATACTTAATATTTTTCTTTCTAAAATTATAACATTTTATTTAGTATTCTGATAGTTTCATGTTAGACATATGACCATGGATCAATCAGCTTGACATGGAGCTATTAGGTGAATTTTGATTGGAGATTATCACTAATATTCAATCTAGGTGATTTAAAGTCACCACAGAATTCTGTTGAAAAACATATCTGTTGTATAAAATATTTTTTTTTTTTTTTTTTAGCATTAGATTACAGAATTATTGATATATATATATATATATATATAACAATGACTTGTGCTTAATGGTTCAAATATGCTTAACTAATATTGTTATTATTATTATTATTATAACTAGAATTTGTGATATCCTCATAATATCGAACTTTAAAAAAATATTTATATTGGATAATTTCTGTTTAATTTTATAAACAAGGGCTTATCAGTATCATGTACTATGGAACAATGGCCTAATGCATATAAGCATTAGTTAAGTATATATTGTTTACCTGAAAGTTGTGAGTTCAATCTTGGGGTCAGGCAGTGAAATCTATACAATAGAATGAGCAGAAGTAGCATTACAAGAATTAGCATAGAATTAAAAAATATATCCTTTACCAAGTACAGCAGATTGTGAACAACTTATTCTCTTGGATGTAAGTGATCAACAACTTCCTGTCCTTTGTAGCTCTTAGCAATATTTGTCTTTCCCTCACACTCTTTTCTACTATCCATTTACACAATGTTGTTGGGTAGGTTATTCACTGCTTCCTTCTGTCCCTCATCTTCAATATATCCTGTGAATGTTAAATTCTCCAAACCTGCTTTCCACATTGTGCCCTAAACATTTTGACTTTCTCTTTCTCATTCTAAGTAGAAGTGCACTTTTTTGTTTTGATTATTTGTAAAACTTCCTTGTTACTTGCATCTTCTGTCCATAGAATTCTCAACAACCCTTTGTAAAACATATCTCTTTTGTTTCCTCTTCATCTATGAGGAAAATGTTCAGCATTAACTGACACATAGCATAGTTTAGTATTTTTGTTTTGTTTTGCTTCTAATGAAATGTTCCTGTTTCTTAATGCTTTGTTTAGCTTTTTGAAGGCTTCTTTTGCTATTCCACTTCTGCCTTCAGATTTGTATCACATTTTCTGACCTCTGTTAAAACACTTCCCAGATATATAAATCTCTGCACTTGCTTGATTTCAACATCTCCAGTTTTTAATTTGAATGATGGGCTGTTCCTCTTGCTGACGATAATACAATTACTGAAACATTGTGACTATGACAAGATAAGAACAATATTTTGAATAAATTAATGTATAATAATCATTTGTATAATACTGTTTTTTTAACTGAGAATTCAGGGAGATTACATTTTGTAAATAGCTTTGAAGTTTTAAAAGAATCTGATTTTCACTGAATAGAGAATATATTATTTTTCTTCCTTTTTTTTATCTTATTTGTTTTTATTGTTGTATCAAGACATCTTTCTCTTATTACTTCATTTTATATAAGCCTCATTAGTAATGCTCAGTTTATTCCCTTTCTTTACAACAGAAACATGAATCTAAAAAGAATGCTTGTAGATGATTTCTTTTGTGGAGTCATCTCTTCTATGTTTGCTTTTTACATCAAAATCAGACTTTGAAGAAAGCAGTATTTATAGTTTCTTTTTTAAAGATTTTATCCTTCTGTTGTGTGTCAATCAAGTGCTTCAAATATGTAGAAAGAAGTTAAGGTACTTTGCATAAATATTTGGAAAAGATACATGCAGCATTTTTTTTCCTACAATAATGTTTACTCTGTATAAAGCCCAAGAGCCACTTTAGGTAGTCACAGTTTATGGGGATATATGGAGAAGATACCGGTTAACCCTAGACTTGAACAGGTTAAGATTGTAGTGATCAGGGAAGCATCCTTTTGGGAGTCTGTTCCACAAAGCAGCCGTTTGTGGGAAAAAAGCTGCTTGACTGGGACTTACATCTCACCAATGGAATAGGAAGGAAATGAGTGAGGGTGATTCACTATAATGTGTGTGGCATGGCTGGTTTTAGCTGTGAAGATTAGAACTGGTGGAACTAAGGAATGTAAATTGTCTGAACACTTTCCATGGAAATAGTGATAGAGCATCGAGAGGCTTACAATGTTTTATCAGTGGGAAAGGGGTTGTAGGGTGGAAAATAATCCATTACCCACAAGGATGCAGAGATGCTTTTATACTGTCGAGCCTTGAAAGTGAAGACTGGGCAGCTTTGATAAGCATAGAAGTCTACCTCTTCTCAATGACCCAACCATTTCAGCAGTCTATAATAGTCTTTTAATATTTGCAGGTAAGCATTTAATGCTATTGAAATATGTACATAGCTACAGTATGGGAGAAAAAATGTTGGACAAAGCATGCAAATGGAGCAGCAGAAAAGCACCTTCTTTTTTTTTTCTAATTTTTATCAGATACTGCACTACAATTTTGCATATGAAACCTGGGGTTGAGGAATAATTTTGTGCTTATTTTTTTGTTTTGTTTTGAAGACAATTTGTTTTATGTCATCAAATATAAATATTCTTCTGAATTTATTTATTTTTTTTTATACTTGATAAAACTTTAGAATATGTTATTACTAACCTCTTTTCTCTCTTGGATATTCTAAGGTGGAATATATATCTACTTTGTGCTTGATTTGCCGGAAATGAAGATGTGTTTGTAGATGCTTTTGATGGAATAATGTAAATACACTTGGAATGAATATGAGTATAATGATGAGAAACAGAAATAGGTAACATTATGTTGGTATTTAGAAAGTTTTAAGATGAAACTTTGTTTTTTTTTTCTCATTTATCAGTAAATGTTTAAGGAATAAAACTTACATTGATTTTCCTATCAAACACTTTTTTCTCCTCATGATGATTCCTGTTAATTGTTGGTATCCAACTTGTTTCTTAAACTAAGTAGCTGCTTAATTTATAAAAATTTTCTCCCATTGTTAGAGCAGAAATGGAAGAATTAAATATATAAAATGGCACAATTTTCTTGGGTTTTGTATTCCTATAAATTCTGGCTCTACTGAAGTTGACTGGTCCACTTATTAAAATAAATATAGGGAAAAATTTTTGTGGGAATAATTTTTGTTGATTAATAGACCTTCAAGTTAGAATATTTGTTAGAATTAAAAGATATTGATTTTTCTTTTATCATTTTAGAAGTGTATGTATGTGTGTGTATGGGGGAGGGCAGATCTTGTTCATAATATAAATACAGTGTCAAATCAATCTTTGACATTTTAAAGAGTTATCTATATTTAGTTTTTAGTTTTCAATGTCAAGTTTGATTGATTTGTTCATTTTCTATGGCTTACCAACTTTTCCAAGTCTATTTGTGCATAAGTGAATATAACGAACCCAATGGGAATTGAAACTTGACTCCTCAATTAACAATTCCAGACTGTTATCCATTACACCACCTGCCCATCGAAGCTTACAGCACCTGTTATTCCTAAGTGGTCACCCATTTAGGTACTGATTGGGTTCAATATTGCTTAACTTCAGTGATTATATGGGAACCAATGTTTCAACATGATGTGGCTGTAAGCCTTGTCAAGTTTGAAACTATTTTGTTTTTCATTTAAGATAAATAATTATTATTCCCTATGTTTGTGTAAGTGTCTCCGAAAAAAGCCCCTGCAAAAAGTTAAAAAGTTTAAAAACATTTTTAAAAATAAAGAAATTCTAAATTTGGAGAGGAGGAAAATCCCCAACGTTAGAATTGGGAAAAGGACATCATCATTTGTATGCAGATATCAATGGCATAAACACAGTTTCAAACTTGGTTTAAGTTATTCTACTTATGAAATATCAGAAAATTAAATATTGCCATCATTCTTTTATGGCATGGGTGAACAAACATAAAATAATCAAGAATCACAATAATGAAAACAATTTGCCTTATTAGTGAAATATTGATTTTAATTTGTACAAATATGTATAGTCCTAAAAACTATAACTGCTTCAACCATCATTAAAAAAAATTCATATTAAGTTCAAATTTGAAATTTGTTATAGTTTTCAAATATTTTTTTGCAAAGAATATCATTTTTTCATTCCTAATAGAAGTGTAAGAACATTTTATGCATTCTTTTGACTTTTCACTTATTTTAGACTATTTTTACTTATTCTAATCATGCATAGCTTCTTTGAAATACAGTGACTGATTTGTTCTTTTAAACTGTTTCTTTTGAAGAGTTTCAGTCTAGAGTTTCATTACAATAAGTGGAGAATAAACTGGAGAAGTTATGCAAATTTATTCTTCTAAAAAACAAAGAAAATGTAGGTAACATCTAGAGTCTGTCTATATTTCTGAGATGAGGTATTATGTACAGTATTTAAATTAGTCGGACTATTGTCCTCATCTTTTTCGCCATATTTGTCAACGTTTCGGCCGTGCAAAGCTCCGCCCTTCTTCAGGTGGTTGGAATTTCGAACTGAACCCTTTTATTTCGATCACTGGGGTAGAGTGTTTCTAGTTCCACATGCCATGTTTGATGGATGTCAGTTATCAGTTATCTCCTGCAAATTTTCCTCTGGAAGTTTTTCCTGCCTTTATCCACTGTGCCATGTGTCAGGACACATGACACAGTGGATAAAGGCGTTGGTTAGATCCAGTGACAGACCCAAAGAAGGTGAGTTCAATTCCTGGTTAAGGCAGTGGAGAACTTTCAGAGGGAAAATTTGCAGGAGATAACTGATAACTGACATCCATCAAACATGGCATGTGGAACTAGAACAGTCTACCCCAGTGATCGAAATAAAGGGTTCAGTTCGAAATTCCAACCACCTGAAGAAGGCCGGAGCGTACAACGGCCGAAACGTTGTGACGAATATGGCAACAAAGATGAGGACAATAGTCCAACTAATGTAAATACAGGTAACATCTATTTTATTAAATTTGAATATTGTAAGGCTGAACAAAAAGAAAGCTAATCACAAGCCTGCAGATAAAAATTGGATATTTGTTTTGTTTTCTTTGTTAAATATTTCAGTTAAACTTGTGACTGGCACAAAATTTTAGTATTTTAAAATAAATTTGACTGAAAAATTGATTCATAAAAGCAGTTTCTCTGTTTCTAAATGATGTCTTCAGGATGTAGGCAATCATGGTTCTCCACAGCTTCCTGTCTTTTATTGTTTTCTACAATAATTTTCTTCTTTATGACACATCTTTGTCTTTGTGATATTTATTCCTCCACCCATTTGCTCAAATATAACTTGCTACTTTCAAATCAAATTTCAGTTACTTAAAGTTTTGCATTTTCATTTGTGATCAAATTTTCCAGAATGTATAGAAAAAATATCAAGATAAGTATTCTTACATTTTGACTAAAGGAAATATTTATTGGCAAAGTACATTTTGACTAGAGCTTTATAAAAATAAAAAAAAAAATAAAAAATGCTCTTTCTGAACTCTCAACCCAACCAAATCAAGACAAAATGATGATGAGCTTTACATGAGGCCCCAGGGAACAAATATTGAGTTCTTGATAAAATATTGAATATCTAAGTGGCTGTTGTGTAGCTATGTTTTGACTTGTTATTTCTGATCTACTGACATTTTACTGAACTATTGCCATTTTTCTAGAAATGCTGCAAGTGCTTAATCATATGAATAGTTATAGACATTGCATTAAAATTGACAGTGAACTATCATATTCTGATATACAAAAATAATATGAAAATGTCTTCCTCTCTCTAGCTATGGATTAAATAACAAAATACTGGGAATTCTAGCATTATCTGGTGAGAGGCTGGGCATTCTGGCCATGGCTGGTAAGAGGCTGGGCATTCTATCTTTACTTAGCAACCTACCTTGGAGAAAAATCACTCCAAGAAGGCAATAAGAAATCACTTCACTAATTTTTCAAAGGACAATCATAGCAATGTACAGTTTATAGGTAAAAAAAAAGAAGGAATCTCTTGCAAGTCATGATCACTTACATCCTGAAGGAATGTGGCACTTAAAGAGATATTTTTCTCTGTCTTAGATTTATGTTATTGATCCATGATTAAAAATTAAATTAGCAATAAGGTAAATAGCTTTGCAATTTGGTAGGATTCAGTGGTTTGTATTCTAAACTTTATTATTCTAATGAAATTTTAAGATAGAGAAATTTAAATTGTTGTTGTAATATTTTTTGAATGTCTGTTTTGTTTTAAGCATTATTTTTTGCTTTCCTTTTTTATGACCAAGTTAAAGCTTTCATCTTTTTGAGTTTTTTGTGTGTATATATATATATATATATATATATATATATATATATATATATATATATATATATATGTAACTCAAAGAGCGAATAATGACATAATCAAGATGCTACTATTCCACACTACCCCAAACAAAAAGCAAAAAAGGAAGTCCCCAGCAAATACTGAAATGAACATTAACAGCTACTGGTGTTGAGAAACCAATTTTCCTGAAAAAAACGTTTTAAGAGAAAGATATTTTTAAAAATTTCAACTGGCAACATAAATGACTGCTCAGTTAATGAATGCCAAATATTTCCTTAAAGGAAATGGTTAATATTATCATTACCACAATTACACACAGGTAAGATAAAGTTTTTAGCCCAACCCACTTCACAAAATCTGACCAAATATCAGATTATTTTTTTTCAGGGCTAATAACTTTTCAGTACTTCCTTAGTGTGTAATATATATATATATATATATATATATATATATATATATATATATATATAATTTGTTGTAATAAATACTTTTAATGAATCTGAACATAAAGGATATCTAGTTTCTTTTCCTGTATGAATGTAATTTTTGATAATTCAGTGGTAAAGCCATTCAGTTAAAGACTATGTGCTTCATAGTTTAAGGTCTATTGCAGATTTATTTAGAAAAAAAAACATTTGTCATCAGATCTGATCAGGACATCAACCTGGCACAGTTATCAGCTATATTTTAATCTGAAATGTTCACTGTATAATGTTCACTCTGCTTTTAATATTCACTACTGAATTATGCTGAAAAATAAATTTTTATGTAAAATAAATTTTGGATCATTAAGTCATATGGTTATTGATATACCTATATCCATTTCTGATATCTGATATTATTATTATTATTATTATGCTATAACAATAGGCTATAGTGGTTGTCTTTGTAGTAGTTTTATATTTACATTTATCTTACTACTTGTTTTGCATATTATAAATAGTAATACTATAGTCTCCAACACATTCATTAAATGTGATGGTTTTACTTTTTATTATTATTACTTTTAATCAGTTATCTAAAATAGTATTATGAACCATATTAATCCAAAACAGATAAAGATTTTAATCATTTTTATTTTGTTCATCTCAGATCAAATTAGTTTTATGTGTGTATACAGGCACTGGTAATCAATCTGCATGATGATCCACCCACTCAAGATGAAATAATAGTAGCTATAAAACTGGTGAATATCAGGAATGCACCCTGGAAATGATGGCATTGTTGCTGAAATGGTACTGCAAAGTGATATTGGTTTTACAGTTTTTGTTTTTCCCTAGAGTGTAAATGAGAAGTGAAATTCCATGAATGGAAGGATGCTATTCTCATTTTATATATATATATTATTTATATATATATATATATATATATATATATATAAAGAAGGGTCCCAAAGACATTTGTGATAACTACCATGAGATCTCACTTGTTAGGATACTTCCCATGCAATTGTTGGATCATGTTGCAGCAAACATTCTGCCAACATTGCAATGTTGCTTTTGGTTTAATTAAGGTACAACAGATTGAAGCATGGCAAGTTCAAGAAGTGCAGAGAGCAGCAACTTAATCTCCAGTACTTCCTTGATCTCACCAAAGCCTTTGACACTGTGCATTGGCCAATGCTTTGGAGTATCCTTCTCATACTAGTGAATCCTGAAAAGTTCACAGGGCTCATCAGATCTTTACATAACAATATGTATCAATGGTAAACTATTAGAATGTATTTCTGTTGAGTCTGGTGTTCAGCAAGGTGATCTTCTGGTTCCTATTCTATTTGAGAGCTTCTTTGCCATTGTAATCTTGCAAGCATTTGGCTAAAATAATGAGCAGTGAGTCCATGGTCATGAAGTACCAGCTTAGATGAGCTGATCATGGTGTCCATTTTAGAGGACACTTACATGCTGAAAAAGGTGATTTATGTTGAGCTTACACAAGGCAAGCATCCTTACTGCAAGCCACACAAACACTTCAAGGATTACCTTAACAACATGTAAAAAGATCAATGTTAATACTAAAATCTGGGAGCATCATACATCAGACAGGGAGGTGAGAGGGAATCTAATTGCTGTTGAAGAATTTGATAACAACAGAATTGTTTATACTGAGCTGAAATGAACTAGTAGATATATGGAAGATATTAACCTGCTTTCAGAGGGGGACAAAGGGGTTCTCTCATGTGATAAATGTGGCTGTGTCTGCTTGTGGGCACAGAAACATACCCATCTACCAATATGACACCCAGCAAGACTTTTCATGTAGCATTTGTAACAAAATGTGTAGGTCAGCCAGTGGGATTGCTCGGCA